TTTTACCTGGATGAAAAGGTGCTACCAAATGATAGACAGAAGGTAATATTAACACAGATATGTTGCAAATGTAATGCCATAGTATATGTACCATGTGATTTCATTACAGATTATATGAATGTTAAGTTTTCACTGATAGTGTGTATTATGATTTCTAAAAAAAAAACCCTCACTTGACCCTAAAAAACACCTTTAAAATATAGTGAACTGATTAAATTGAAACTTGTAGTTGATCTTCATTGTGAAATTATTCAATTCAGTCTGGTTTAGTGTCGTTTATTAAAATCCCCGCAGTGCAGCAACCATTTTTCTGGCATCATTAACCTTTACACTTTGGCAGCGCACTACTCACGCTTGGACATATCGATCATAGCAAAACCAAAACGGTCCAGGCCTCGAGAGCCGGTGTCCTGTAGGTTTTAGATGTAGCTTTGATCCATCACAGCTGATTTCAATGGCTAAATTACCTCCTCAACATTTCTTGAAGTTCTCCAGAGGCCTGGTAATGAACTAACCATTCGTTTCAGATTTGTTGACCCAGCGTGATATCTAAAACCTGCAGGACACCGGCTCTCGAGGCCTGGTGTTGGCCACCCCTGCTCTACGGTATTTCTAGTTGTGTATACTCTAAGGAGAATGCAGTTTTCATTCCCAAATCTAAATGTTGTAAGAAGGTAGCTTTGTTGACGCAAATATTTCAAACTCAAATAAAATGGTGGACTATAAGTTCAGTAGTGTAAATAAACTTTATATAATAAGGAGGTTCTCTGAGCAAACCCGCATGTGAGTAATATGATTTATTATTGCAGAACATGACTTTTCTCTCTTTTTGTGTTCCTGCCATTAAAAGAAACAGCAAAAGAAAAAATGTAAAACGCTGCACAAATGTGAAAGAAACAGTCTGATCTTCCTGCTGTTAATCCTGTTGCTAATGTACTCCATTTTCTTCTTTCAAATGTTTGTTTTGTCTTTGTTTTCTTGTATTTTGTATAATCTTAGATTACTTTCTTTAAAGCGCTGTGTGACTCCTGTCTGAAAAGCATTGTATCAGTAGATATCAATGATAAGCTATAGTCATTAGTGCAATTGTACTGCTCTTTTGTGTAATTTCTGACTGTTTTGTCCCACAGATTGAAGAAAAACCTAAAGATGTTCATCATTGTTCATCCATCCTGGTTCATACGGACTTTGCTAGGAATGATCAGACCCTTCATAAGGTCTCAGAGTTGTAATTGCTATTTGCACGACTCTCCCAGCCATTGAAATTCATTCAGATTCATTTATAATTTAATTGCAGTCAAAGTCATGGAGATCTTCATTAGAAAGGATTATCATGTAGCATTTAGCAAAACCATTTTTTACTGTAACTCTTTTTGATTTCTATTTCCTTCAGTTCCAAGTTCAGCAGTAAGATCAAGTATGTGCATAGTCTGCAGGAGCTCGGAGAAATCATTCCTATGGAGTATGTGCATATACCTCACAGCATTGTCAGGTGAGCCAGCCT